TAATTACCTAAGTTTATAAGTATGATTAAACTGGATAAAAAAACACTTATCTTCCCACCTTCAAGAGACAATTCCAAGAGCAAGTCAGTGATCTAATATGAATCTTTTGCCCGAAGTTTGTACTGTTTGTAGCAACATTCAGTTTTGATCATTGACTTTCCCATGTTCAAATATCAGGAACCTTTTCTGAAAATCTCTAAAATCAGTTAGGGGCGGTCGGGTAGCCTAGTGGTTAAAGCGTTTGCTCGTCGCACCGAAGACCCGGGTTCGATTCCCGACATAGGTACAATGTGTGAAGCCCATTTCTGGTGTACGATCCAAGCCGATGATATTGCTGGAATATTGCTGTAAAACAATACTCAATCAATCAACTATGATATCCTGACCAGAAGATTGTAACAAAACACTAGAAGTAATTTGGGAAAGTTGCCGTAGCACATGAAGCTGACACAGTGGGATTTATGACCTCACCTCACCTCACCTCACCTCACCTCACCTCACCTCACCTCACCTCAGACTGCCTCCGTGGTCTAATGGTAGAGCGTCCGCCCGGAGAGCGGAAGGTCCGGGGTTTTATGGTAAAAGATTGTACTTGTTGTTTCCCTGTCTGGCGCTCGGCATTAAGGGGCTAAAACAAGGACTGGTCGGCTCGGAGTCAGTATACTGTGTCTGAGTGGGGTATTCATGTTAAACTGCGGCATGGTATCTCAGTGTGCTACCACTATAAATCGGCATCAGTCCGGACTAGTACAAGCAGCCACACACACACATACACGTGCAAGCACGTCGCTATATAAGTGCAATAATCTTGGACGCAACGTTAAACCCCATCTCACCTCACCTCACCTCACCTCACCTCACCTCACCTCACTTGCGTGATCAGATGCCCTGAACTAGTTTCCACTCAACTAAACTCAACTCAACTCCTATATGAAACAGCCTAACATGAACACTCAGTATTTTGTAACTTTACCACTATTTCTGATAAATATTAAAAGTTTTGACATCACATATCAAAAACTCTGAAAGATTTTAATCTTCTTTGCATGTAACATATTTAATGCAGTCCCATGTGTATGTTAACAAAGCCTGGTGACGAGACTTCAGGTCAATAGAGACGTGTAATGCAGTCCCATGTGTATGTTAACAAAGCCTGGTGACGAGACTTCAGGTCAATAGAGACGTGTAATGCAGTCCCATGTGTATGTTAACAAAGCCTGGTGACGAGACTTCAGGTCAATAGAGACGTGTAATGCAGTCCCATGTGTATGTTAACAAAGCCTGGTGACGAGACTTCAGGTCAATAGAGACGTGTAATGCAGTCCCATGTGTATGTTAACCAAGCCTGGTGACGAGACTTCAGGTCAGTAGAGACGTGTAATGCAGTCCCATGTGTATGTTAACTAAGCCTGGTGACGAGACTTCAGGTCAATAGAGACGTGTAATGCAGTCCCATGTGTATGTTAACTAAGCCTGGTGACGAGACTTCAGGTCAATAGAGACGTGTAATGCAGTCCCATGTGTATGTTAACTAAGCCTGGTGACGAGACTTCAGGTCAATAGAGACGTGTAATGCAGTCCCATGTGTATGTTAACTAAGCCTGGTGACGAGACTTCAGGTCAATAGAGACGTGTAATGCAGTCCCATGTGTATGTTAACTAAGCCTGGTGACGAGACTTCAGCTCAGTAGAGACGTGTAATGCAGTCCCATGTGTATGTTAACAAAGCCTGGTGACGAAACTTCAGGTCAATAGAGACGTGTAATGCAGTCCCATGTGTATGTTAACTAAGCCTGGTGACGAGACTTCAGGTCAATAGAGACGTGTAATGCAGTCCCATGTGTATGTTAACTAAGCCTGGTGACGAGACTTCAGGTCAATAGAGACGTGTAATGCAGTCCCATGTGTATGTTAACCAAGCCTGGTGACGAGACTTCAGGTCAATAGAGACGTGTAATGCAAGACAAAAACAACCACAAAGTTTACAAACTTCTGTAGAGAATCTTGGGAATACATTCTTGCTACTCCTGATCAATGTTTAATAACACAACAGATTCAATTGGATTAATCTTAAGCCACCCTTGACAATATGAATTATTCATCTATTCAAGGCATCAATTAAAGCCTCTGTTACTGTGTAAACTCAATTAAGGCTGCATTTGTACAGATATACACAGAAAGGTGGACAATTTCTCCCGCTTAGACAATGAGTCATCAGGAGGATAGCATGATGTTGAGAATCTATCTATTGTCTGACAAAGTCACATGTAAACTGTTGTGGCTTTCCACAAAACGATCTTAGCTACTGTCTATGCTATGATCATCTTAGCACTATTAAGGTTGGATTTGAGAGTGAGTGAGTGAGTTCGGTTTTACACCTTTTAGCAACATTCCAGCAATATCACGGCGGGGGACACCAGAAATGGGCTTCACACATTGTACCCATGTCGGGAATCGAACCCGTGTCTTCGGGGTGACGAGCTTACGCTTTAACCACTAGGCTACCCGACCGCCCCTTGGATTTGAGAGTTCTGGTCGCTTCAGATGGAGGTGGCTAAGGGTACACTTTGTGTATGTTATGGTTTGGAGATATTATGCGTACTAAGTCAGTTTGTAGGTCTACAGAAAAATAAGCATTTTTTTAGCATTGGTTTGGTGTGAAGTGGTTGTTAAAAATCTATGTCTAGGTGTACCTGGTACTGTTTCCAGACGGTCACCCTCGAGGGAAGAAGGCATCTCTCCTTTCAAGAAAATAATTCAAATACAATATTAAGGCCACAATAAATTAATCTTTATATTTTTGTAGCAGGGCATGGAGTCATCCCACAGATGACATCCTTACCTTGTCAGCTTGCTGACGGGGTTAACCTCTTTGGTCATGTGGACAAGGCGTCCAACCTCTGATCACCGTGGTTCGAATCCCATCACGGGACTCGGAATTTTTTTGGCCGCTACATTGGCGCCCAACGTAGGGCCAATATAGCGGCCATAAAATTTGACATCCCTTTTTATCCCCCTGGTTCGACAACACTGGAGGACAGAGCGATCAGCATGTCGATCTGTCCACCATCTGATTTTCGTTTCCGTAGCAGAACTCCCAAACCCTTAATATTTCTTGTTGAACTTTCTATATAGATCATTCGAGTGGGGAACCGGTGTCTTCAAGATTCAGGATTTGTATTCTTTTTATTTTGTTTTTTTACATGATTTTTCATGATGAAAACTAGTTGTTTTTCGTTTCCTGAGCAGAACTCCAAAGTCTTGTTGAAACTTGCTATTTAAATCAGTTTAATTTATTTGTGAACTGGTGATCTTTAATGAGTTATATTTTTTATTGTCCCCCGCCGCGCCAAAGAGCGGAGCGGGGGATATAGTATTCACAACCGTCCGTACGTCCGTCCGTACCTCCCACCTGTTTGTTGCCGCGATATCTTAAGAACTAACGCTGGATTGTCTTCATATTATGAACTATGGTGTATATACAGACTCCGCAGACACCAGTCGGTTTTGGTGACCTTGACCCCATTTTCAAGGTCACAGCAGGCAAATCTGCTTTTGGAGTTGGAAAACGGTGTTGCCACGATATCTCAAGAACTAATCGCTGGATTGTCTTCATATTTGGAACTATGGTGTATATACAGACACCGCAGACACCAGTCTGTTTTGGTGACCTTGACCCCATTTTCAAGGTCACAGCAGGCAAATCTGCTTTTGGAGTTGGAAAACGGTGTTGCCGCAATATCTCAAGAACTAATCGCTGGATTGTCTTCATATTTGGTACTATGGTATATATACAGGCGGGGGACATTTCGTCACTTTGTGACAAATACTTGTTTTACTTTTTTTCATGACAACAATTGGGGCTTAAACAGATAATGAGGGTTGTGATCATTTCCGGAGCAGAACACCAAAATCGTTGAATATTTCTGAATGAAACCTGCAATTTTAGATCAGTCTAGTGGTCAACTGGTGTCTTTTGGTGATTTGGGATTTTGAAAAATTCTGAACAGTATTTTTTTCTTCACTGAAATAAAGGTATCCAGTGACAATGAACCCAAAGTATAAGTAGCCAAACTCCTTTTCCGAATTGCACCAGACCGGGAAGATATGTCATCTCCTGATCACTCTTGTTTTAGAATGTGAAGAAGGAGGCATTTTATTTTATATATTTTATTTTTTCAAACGAACATGCCATAAAAAAACTAAAGTAATATGAATGAATTGGATGTTCTTTAACTTCTTTTGAGTAGTATATATATTCTAGTTGTACTGATATAAAGCAGACAAGGTACAATGTTAAAGATGAGAATAATTTATACATGTTTATTTTAATTAAGACAGGCTCTCAGGAATGTAGAACCGTGATGATCCGGGGTAGAATAGATCTTCAGCAACCCATGCTTGCCGTAAAAGGCAACAATGCTTGTTGTAAAAGGTGACTAACGGGATCGGGTGGTCAGGCTCGCTGACTTGGTTGATGCATGTCATCATATCCCAATTACATGAATGGATGCCCATATTATCAATCACTGGATTGTCTGGTCCAGACTCAATTATTTACAGGCCGCCGCCACATACCTGGGATACTGCGAAGTGAAGCGTTAAACAGCAACAAACACACAAACTTCACAAAGGAATGCAACTAATTTCTCTGTGTTCTTGTTTAATTTTATGGACATGAATTACTGTCAATATGTCAGACCCGTGAAGATTCCGGGGTAGAATAGGTCTTCAGCAGCCCATGCTTGCCGTAAAAGGTGACCATGCTTGTCGTAAAAGGCGACTAACGGGATCGGGTGGTCAGGCTCGCTGACTTGGTTGATGCATGTCACCAATCCCAATTGCGTGGATTGATGCTCATGATATTAATCACTGGATTGTCTAGTCCAAACATGATTATTTACAGACCGCCGACATAAAGCTGGAATATTGCTGAGTGCGGCGTTAAACAACAAACCAACAAACCAACCAATCAAAATGTCAACTCTTTGGATTTGCAGGTATGCAATTGTTTACAAGAAAGGATACCAGGATTTTGAAGATGTCCAAAGTGCCGTTACCACCAAGGTGAAAGGAGTGGCCTTCACAAATCTCACAGACAACCCGGGTATAGGGACGCGGGTGTGGGATGTCGCAGATTATATTGTCCCCCCTCAGGTATGTGTTTGAACCAGTTGAGCTATGAGACAACCCCATAGAGTGTCATGTATCCCAAGCTCCTTCCCAGCGCGTGACACCTTCGTTACACTCTCGGTAACATCGCTGCCACCAGTTTGGGCGCGGCCATTACAAGAATCTTGAAATTTGCCCTCTAGCCCCAAATGTAGTAATGTTTATACTTTTGTTTATGTCTTTCGGAATGCCATCATATTTCTTTTGAAAAGCTCTACGACTGACCATGTTTTCCAGATGAATTTACTTTGTTGTTTTAATAATCAGATTGCTTCGAGATTGCAGACAAACGGAAAATCAACCAACTTCTCCCTTACATTCTTACCATATGAATGAAATAATGAAATAGAACTTCAAACTGACAAACAAAGAAAAGTAATTTAGCAGGGGTAAGTGTATTTGGTGTCACGACAGTCGTCACTTGTTTGTAAACATAACAGTCATTCTGTTGCGAGTTCAACTCCAAGCATGGTTGGGGCCACCTATCACAATGGGGAGTTTTGACTGGTGGCAGCGATAGTATAGAGAGCTCCGCGAACGGGCTATCACTGTGAGGAGCCTGCATGTTCCCAAGGCAAGGGAGTTAACTGACTGTTAAAGTCCAGTTTCAACCCTTGCCGAACTAGGACTTTTGTAGTCAGTTAACACCTTTGACTCGGGGTGATGATAGGGCGTGGATGTTTTGAATGTTGCAGACTATAGTGTCCCCTCGTTATTGCACCCTTCAATATAGCGCTAACTCGGTTATAGCACGCGGTAAAAGCATGGCTCCCAAAATTTACTAACATTTTCAATAAACTCAAGTTTTCCAATGATGCGATGTTTTCCCCCATCTCAGAAAACATTGTCAGCTGATCACCGCGAACACGTAACACCGGAAATACCAGTCAACTAATCCGAACTGAAGGACACAATTTGATTATATTATTATAATATCTGGTTATAAAAAAAATGTTCATTGTTTATCTGGAGTAATGTTTACAATATATTTTTTTAATTATATTCAAAATTTCATTCAATAATTATAATAATGTTTACAATAATTTTGGTGAAATGGTATGCAAAGTGATTGGTAGATCGCACAACTCACCGTTATTTACCGCTATTGACGCCTTGAAACGAACTTTAGTTGCAAGAGAATGGATATATACATATCGCTAAAGGTCATATATGAGGCAGTTTGACAAATAAATGTCAACATAACGTTTTCGCAATCGAAATACATGTAGCGCGGGAAGTCCCTATGGTGACTGGTCCAAATCGTTCCATACGTCAAAACATATCTTGCATACCATCTGTACCAAAGTGCTACACTTATGGTTCTTATAATTTTAAGTATATATGGTGAAGCTGCAACTAAAATAACACGACATTGGAATATATTATTCCTGATAAAATAATGTTTTCAGATACAATTTCTTCCGACCATTGCATAAAAATTCTTTGAAGTTGTATCATTGGGTATGTTTAAACTGAATCACCGGTAGATTGGGAGAGATGTGTGCCCGGCTAAATGCTATTTCCGGCTAAGATTACGAGAAAATACACACAGTAATCTTAATCTCTGCATATAAAACAATGCCTTGGAGAGCAGGAAATACATTTTAATTGGTAAATCATCATGTCTAGTGATGTTTTATATCAAATTTCATACTTTTATTGACCAAGTTTGTTTTACCTGTTTATTGACCTAAATTCGCTGAAGGGATACGATAACGCTCATCAATTATTTTTACCCTGAAGGTAGCGTTGTTTGTTTTTGAAAATGTCCGGAAAAATTTAAATGTCTGGTAAGCAATATTTTAAACCTAACATTTGAGATTCCCAATCGGACATGTCCGACGCATATGACCGTTTCCGGACCCCTGGTACCTATCTTGCACTTTGAATACATTTTCTCCAAACTACATACTGTGTGGATAGACCGCCTCCGTGGTCTAATGGTAGAGCGTCCACCCCCGGAGAGCGGAAGGTCCGGGTTCGATCCCCAGCTGCTTCATACCAAAAGACGTTAAAAGATGGTACTTGTTGTTACCCTGTCTGGCGCTCGGCGTTAAGGGGCTAAAACAAGGACTGGTAGACTGTGTCTGAGTGGGGTATTCATGTTAAACTGCGGCATGGTATCTCAGTGTGCTAGCACTATAAATCGGCATCAGTCCGGACTAGTACAAGCAGCCACACACGCACACATACACGTGCATGCACGTCGCTATATAAGTGCAATAATCTTGGACGCGACGTTAAACCCCATTTCACCTCACCTGTGTGGACAATTAAACACACCTGTCACATATATAAGAAAGGTCATCACTCCACCATCTATAACAGATGCATCATTTTATTTCAAATCAAATTTATTCCTCTTCGCCACAATGATTGTTCTTTTTCACTTCTCTCTTCCAGGAAAATAATGCCTTTTTTGTGATGACGAACATGGTCATAACACCAAACCAGACATTCTCAGAATGTGAAGAGGTGAGTTGAGATTTGTGTTGTCCAACTTGAGAAATTATTATATCATGTGAATATAAATTTATTGCAACTGAATCCTTGGCAATTGCCTGGTTGACCAAGCAGTTGTTTTGCGTTTGTTTTGTCAACCAAAAAACGACCAGGTCACACCCACTAGTATGATACTCTTTCCTGATTGGCTGATAATAGGGTGGGAGGGGCTTGTATTGCATTACTGGGGTGAAAGATGTCACTGAATTTGTATTTCTGCCTACAGCTTTTTGTGTTTATGATTAAATAGCAGTCTATGAGGTTCCTATATATAACTTATTTACGTATTAGAATGGACTGATTTTCAGCTATTCGTTTATATATTTGTCACAGATTGTTTTTCTCTCATGCCTGGTGGAATACTTTGTGGGATGAACAAGGCTTGTTGTACTCTGGCTTAGACATTTTATGTTTAGTGTATTTTAGCATTTATGGAGGTGTAAATGTTAAGAAACAGTGTGCACTTCTTGTGGATTGACACAGTGCGTACACCAATTTTACATTATACCTCCATAACCACAAAACATATAAAGTCGATAAAAGTGGTTTTGGTTTGTTGTTTAACGCCGCACTCAGCAATTTTCCAGCTATATGACGGCAGTCTGTAAATAATCGAGTCTGGATCAGACAATCCAGTGATTGATAAAAGTGGAAAAACTCCAAGGCTTCCTGAGGAGTTTTTCCACTTTTATCAACGAGTGTTGGGGGCGGTCGGGTAGCCTAGTGGTTGAAGCGTTCGCTTGTCACGCCGAAGACCCGGGTTCGATTCCCGACATGGGTACATTGTGTGAAGCCCATTTCTGGTGTCCCCCGCCGTGATATTGCTGGAATATTGCTAAAAGCGGCGTAAAACCATACTCACTCACTCACTCAACGAGTGTTGATATATTTGATATCAAATGACATGAGGGTGAGATTTTATTTATCATCCAACATCATTCTTCCAACTTTTTCATTTTGTAGACAGTAATATGCAGTGTCTTAAGTGTAAAAAGTACTGCTAACAGCTTCAGTAGCAGAGCCATAAGGGATGTCATTTGATTGTGACGTCATGGTAACTAATGTCGTCACAATGGTCTGCAAAGCATTGTGATGCAATTTCATTGCAGTGATATCTACAATGTAGATATCGCTTGATCTCACCCAAGCATATCTCCTGCTGGAGCCAGTTTTGGATGATAAAACACATTATAGGCGTTACAGAGCTAATTAATGACACTATCCAACAACAAATATCTTCAGTGTTACTATAAAAAGTGGTGGTCAGGGCAGTAGTAGATTAATTTAATATTCATTAGTATTTGAGTCTATGCACCAGGATCTTTCAATCATTTATCCAATGATGACTCCAACATGAGATACAACTTGCACAAAATCAAACATTTGGAAAACTTGTGTACAAAGTTTGAACTTTTCAGGATCTTATTGTACAATATTCTAACATTTCATAATATTGGTGTACAATGTTCTAACATTCCAGAATACTTGTGTAAATGTTCCAACATTTCAGAATATTGGTGTACAATGTCCTAACATTTCTGTATATTTGTGTACAGTGTCCTAACATTCCAGAATACTTGTGTAAATGTTCCAACATTTCAGAATATTGGTGTACAATGTCCTAACATTTCTGTATATTTGTGCACAATGTTCTAACATTCCAGAATACTGGTGTAAATGTTCCAACATTTCAGAATATTGGTGTACAATGTCCTAACATTTCTGAATACTTGTGTAAATGTTCCAACATTTCAGAATATTGGTGTACAGTGTCCTAACATTTCTGAATACTTGTGTAAATGTTCCAACATTTCAGAATATTGGTGTACAGTGTCCTAACATTTCTGAATACTTGTGTAAATGTTCCAACATTTCAGAATATTGGTGTACAGTGTCCTTACATTTCTGAATACTTGTGTAAATGTTCCAACATTTCAGAATATTGGTGTACAGTGTCCTAACATTTCTGAATACTTGTGTAAATGTTCCAACATTTCAGAATATTGGTGTACAGTGTCCTTACATTTCTGAATACTTGTGTAAATGTTCCAACATTTCAGAATATTGGTGTACAATGTCCTAACATTCCAGAATACTTGTGTAAATGTTCCAACATTTCAGAATATTGGTGTACAATGTCCTAACATTTCTGTATATTTGTGCACAATGTTCTATCATTCCAGAATACTGGTGTAAATGTTCCAACATTTCAGAATATTGGTGTACAATGTCCTAACATTCCAGAATACTTGTGTAAATGTTCCAACATTTCAGAATATTGGTGTACAATGTCCTAACATTTCTGAATACTTGTGTAAATGTTCCAACATTTCAGAATATTGGTGTACAGTGTCCTAACATTTCTGAATACTTGTGTAAATGTTCCAACATTTCAGAATATTGGTGTACAGTGTCCTAACATTTCTGAATACTTGTGTAAATGTTCCAACATTTCAGAATATTGGTGTACAGTGTCCTTACATTTCTGAATACTTGTGTAAATGTTCCAACATTTCAGAATATTGGTGTACAGTGTCCTAACATTCCAGAATACTTGTGTAAATGTTCCAACATTTCAGAATATTGGTGTACAATGTCCTAACATTTCTGTATATTTGTGCACAATGTTCTATCATTCCAGAATACTGGTGTAAATGTTCCAACATTTCAGAATATTGGTGTACAATGTCCTAACTTTTCTGTATATTTGTGCACAATGTTCTAATATTCCAGAATACTGGTGTAAATGTTCCAACATTTCAGAATATTGGTTTACAGTGTCCTTACATTTCTGAATACTTGTGTAAATGTTCCAACATTTCAGAATATTTGTGTACAATGTCCTAACATTCCAGAATACTTGTGTAAATGTTCCAACATTTCAGAATATTGGTGTACAATGTCCTAACATTTCTGTATATTTGTGCACAATGTTCTAATATTCCAGAATACTGGTGTAAATGTTCCAACATTTCAGAATATTTGTGTACAGTGTCCTAACATTCCAGAATACTGGTGTAAATGTTCCAACATTTCAGAATATTGGTGTACAATGTCCTAACATTTCTGTATATTTGTGCACAATGTTCTAACATTCCAGAATACTGGTGTAAATGTTCCAACATTTCAGAATATTGGTGTACAATGTCCTAACATTTCTGTATATTTGTGCACAATGTTCTAACATTCCAGAATACTGGTGTAAATGTTCTTACATTTTCAGAATATTGGTGTACAATATTCTAACATTTTCAGAATATTTGTATAAATGTTCTAACATTCCAGAATACTTGTGTAAATGTGCTAACTTTCTGAATATTGGTGTACAATGTTAAAACATTTCAAACTATTGCAGTACCATGTTAGAACATTCTCAGTACTGATGCACCATGTTTCAGGATCCTGGTGTGACGGATGGCCATTGTCAAACAGATGAGGATTGCACACCCAATACACCTGTGACAGCAGGCAATGGTGAGGATTCAATTATGTCTGCTCTTTGTGGAGATTACGGGTTAGGATAGGCCCCCTAGCAACCTCAGATGCAACCAAATGGATTGGGCTGATATGAAAATTTTCAAATTGGCAAAAAATTCAAACTTGATTAAATTTCATGTTTTACAGATTTGTATCCTCAAAATGTCTGAAGACAATTAAGTTATTTTAAAATTCAACAAGGGTACTGCATCTATTACTGGTTTTTTTTCGTGTATATAATACACCACCACTTAATGATGCCACCTTATTTCGAAAATATGCTATCCTTTTGCTCACGATATAACAGTTAAAGTTTGGATAACGTTTTCCTAAACATACCGTATTCGACATAATAAGTGCCCAGGGCGCTCTCAATATTAGAAATAGGGGGCTCTTATTAGAATATTATTTTGGTGAAAAAAACAGAGCTGAAAGATCGTAAATTTTGTGGTTAATGCTGACAGCCTGAAATGTTGACATACGACAGATATATTTTTCCAGAATTTAATTGCCCATAATTAAGGGTGCATATAACGCACAAGTGCGTATTATACACGAATAAATAAGTCTTGTGTACATTGATCATTCGGAAGGGGTGCTGATTGGGATTGTTCACTAGCCAATATATTAGCAAATATCGCCGTGGGTGCTTGTTAGAGCGGGGCGCTTATTACGTCGAATACGGTAATTATCACTGACTACACAATGTCTTCCTTTTTTGTAAAATCGATTAACTGGGATGGGGATCTGTAAGATGAGTGACTAAATGATCTGGGCCCCATTCCACATTGCGATCATAGCACTAAGGTGATCTTAACTTCTATACTGTAACATATACTGAAGATCGCTTTGGGGAACAGACCGTAGACCTAAATATCTTTGATATTGCATTCTGTTCTCTAAGGACAATAACCTCCTCCGTTGTCCACTGGATAGAGAGTCTGCCTGGAGAGCAGATATTCGATGTTTGATTACCTTCTGCATCATACCAAAAGACATTAAAAGACGGTACAAGTTGTTACCTTGCTTGGCGCTCGGCATTTAGTAGTCCGCTAAAACAAGGATTGGTCAGCTAAGAGGCAGTATACTCTTTCTGAGTGGGGTATTCATGTTAAACTGCAGCATGGTATCCCAGTGGACGAGCATTAGTCCAGATAAGTACAATACATGCAGACAAGCGCACACGTGCATGCTTGTCGCTATGTAAGTGCAATGATCTTGAATGCATCCTTCAACCCAATATGACCTCACCTAGTCCAGATCATTCTCATCCAAAGTATAAATTGGTTTCCATGGCAACCATATTGAAAAGAACCATCTTAGGCCATTCATTAATGTTGATGTTTGAATGGTTCTGATGCAGTGTTTCCCATTCTAAGCATGAGTTTTCATTGTGATGATTTTGCATCAAATGCATCTTTTTTTCTGAGTGAATTTAATAATTTAAATCCTATTTTTCAACCTTCTTTTACAGGTTATAAAACAGGAATTTGTATTAACTCAACTCGAAACAAGACCCAGAGAGTGTGTGAAATATATGCGTGGTGCCCCGTGGAGATAGACCAAGCGTGAGTTGCCTCCCCTTGATTTTATTTGAATGGTTGAAGATTCCTTCAGTGTGATATTGATGTTCACTAGTCATGGCTCATTATCCAGCTGTTTTGTCATGTGAGAAACACAAGGTGACAGTAAACATTTGATAGGGGCGGTTTGGTAGCCTAGTGGTTAAAGCGTTGGCTCGTCACGCCGAAGACCCGGGTTCGATTCCCGACATGGGTACAATGTGTGAAGCCCATTTCTGGTGTCCCCTGCCGTGATATTGCTGGAATATTGCTAAAAGCAGCGTAAAACCATACTCACTCACTCACTCACTCACTCACTCACTCACTCACTCACTCACTCACTCACTCACTCACTCACTAAACATTTGATAAATGATCAGATTCTCCTCTGTTGCCTACGTCACACAACCAACACCCCAGGAAGACCGGGGTTAGAATTGTCTTCAGCAACCCATGTTTGTCTTCAGAGGCAACTTACAGGATCAGATGGTCAGGCTCGGTGACTTGGTTGATGCATGTCATCATATCTCAATTGCGTTGATCAATGTTCATGATGTCAATCACTGGATTGTCTGACCAAGACTTGATTATTTACAGATTGCTGTCATATAGCTGGAATATCACTGAGTGTGGTGTTAAATAATAAACGAACAAACAAACACTACCAAACACTGACTCACATTAAGTGATTGTTCCCAAATACATACAGACAAACAAAATGTTCCCTTTTTTCTATATTTTATGAAACACACTGTATAAACTATACATGCTTCATATGAATCCGGTCCAAACAAATGCTTCTTCCAAAAGAAATGTAAATACAAAAATTAACTATCCCCCCCGACTTACGTTTTTACAAATGTGGGTGAAAACCTAATAATTAATTTATTGTTGTCTGAGTTCCAGAAACTTTCATTTTCTGTTTGTGTCAAATCCTTCTAGTCACCTCCAGCCCTAGAGATAAAAAAACTATCCAATTGATATTATTTCAGGTGAGGTCAAATTCATATCAATTCTGATCAAGAACTTTATGCCATGTGGCTTGGGGGACTAACCATCGATTATTCTGGATCAAATTATTTTTGTCAAATACCTGTGTATCCCTCGCACTTAGCTGTGATACAAAAATATTATTCAAAATGTGGCAGTTTCACCATCTCATCACTCTGTTTAATTAAAATAACACATCAACTTAAGGAATACCGGGTTAGAATTGATGCCAAAAAACCTATGCTGGTCATAAGAGGCGACTTTAGGATCAGGTGGTCAGGTTCGGTGTCTTGGTTGGTGACGTTGCATTGTACCCTGACGCCATGGATCGTTGCTCACAATGTCAATCACTGGATTGGCTGGTTCAGATTTGATTGTTTACAGTCCACTGGAATATTGATGAGTGCAGCATTAAACAACAAATGCACACACACACAAACACATCCGTTAAAAGACATTGTGCAATTCAGTGTCTTCGGAAACATATATTTTTGACAAAATATTGCTGTCTGTTACTGTGCTTATAGTAAGGACCCATGAAGACCTGGGTTAGAATTGGTCTTTAGCAACCCATTCTTGTCGTAAGAGGCATCTAACAGGATCGGGTGGTTAGACTCACTGACTTGGTTGATGCATGTCATGGTATCCCAATTGCATAGATCGATGCCCATGATGTCAATCACTGGATTGTCTGGTCCAGAGTCGATTATTTACAGACCGCCGTCATATAGCTGGACTTTTGCTGAGTGCGGTGTTCAACAACAAACAAACAAACAAACAAACAAAGCTTAAAGTAAGGTGGTGGAATAGCCATGTGGTGAAAGGATTAGCCCATCGCACCTGAAGGAGCCAGATTCTATGTCCCACACGCTTATAAGGTGTGAAGCCCATTTCTTGGGTCCAGTTCCCATGATCTGGCTGGAATATTGCTAAAAATGTTTTTGGGAATTGATATATATTGGTGTTTGACATATCATCTTCAAAATTATAATTTCTTCAAATATACTTATTTAAAATTGTGTCATTTAAATTTAAGTGAGTGAGTGAGTGAGTGAGTGAGTTTTACGCCGCTTTTAGCAATATTCCAGCAATATCACAGCAGGGGACACCAGAAATGGGCTTCACACATTGTACCCATGTCAGGATTCGAACCCCGGGTTTTGGCTAGATGAGCAAACGCTTTAACCACTAGGCTACCCGACCGCCCCTTTAAATTTAAGCATCACACCATTAAAGATGAGCCCATGGAGATCCAGGTTAGAGTTGGCCTTCAGCAGCCCATGCTTGTCGTAAGAGGCAACTGAGGGGCTCGGGTGGTAGGGCTCACTGACGTGGTTGATGCATGTCATTGTATCCTAATTGCAAAGATTGATGCTCATGATGTCAATCACTGGATTGTCTGGTCCAGACTCAATTAGACCGCCATCATATAGCTGGAATATTGCTGAGTGCGGCGTAAAACAACAAACCAACCAAACCAACCAAACCAACCAACCAACCAGACTCAATTACTTACCGATCGATATCATGAGGCTGGAATATTGCTGAGTGTGGGATTAAACAAAAAACAAATGAAGAGAAAGGACACCATTAAAGATTATTGACCAAGAAATCAGGATCATTTTAAATCGTTTGACCCTTGAATTGTTAGTTGAATGTCCTGATGGCACGGAACAAGAAGCAAGCAGCATGCGGTTTTATATATGTATTGATCTATTGATTTATTGATTCCTGTTTGTGCATACTGTGCTTATGGCATGTTTGTGTTTCAGACCAAAGACTGCAGTTTTACTAGAATCAAGAACCTTTACAGTTTTCATAAAAAATAATGTGGAGTTTCCAAAATTTTCAGTAAAAAGGTAAGTTTTTTATGATTCTAGAACATTCTTGTAAAAACGATATGTGAGCATTTGATTTCCCTTCTTAATGGAAATCTTGCAGACTCCTGAGGGAAATCTTGTCATAGCCGTGAAGTAAACTTCGTAGGCCTCAAAAAGAAATCTCGGCATAGCCGTGAAGTAAATTAGTAGACCTGAAGTAAACTTAGTAGACACACAGAGGAAATCTTGACTTGTTTGATAGGGATTTCGTAGAAGTTGACAGATGACAAAGTAGACAGAAATGTTTTATGGATAAAGAGTTGCTTGACAGTGTTATAAGAATCAATACCATAATGTCGCAATTACCGTATGATAAAGAAGTTGTTATCCTAAAACAATTTTTTGTCTTCTTTGGAAATCTTGACACAGCCTTTAACTAGACCTCAAAAGAAATCATGACAGTGCCTTGACGTAAACATAGTAGACCCCAAATTGAAATCTTGGCATAGCCTTGAAGTAAACGTAGTAGACCCCAAATTGAAACCTTGACATTGCCTTGAGGTAAACGTAGTAGACCCCAAATTGAAATCTTGGCATAGCCTTGAAGTAAACGTAGTAGACCCCAAATCTAAGTCTTGGCATAGCCTTGAAGTTAACGCGGTAAACCCCAAATTGAAATCTTGACATTGCCTTGAAGTAAACGTGGTAGACCCCAAATTGAAATCTTGACATTGCCTTGAAGTAAACGTAGTAGACCTCAAATTTAAGTCTTGGCTTAGCCTTGAAGTAAACGTAGAAAACCCCAAAATGAAACCTTGACATTTTCTGGAAGTAAACATTGTAGACCAAAAATCAAAATCTTGAAGTTGCCTTGAAGTAAATGTAGTAGACCCCAAATTGAAACCTTGACAATGCCTTGAAGTAAACATAGTAGACCCCTACAGGAAATCTTGGCACAGCCCTGAACAGGCATGCAATGTAACCTGAACATTTTCTTCTTGGAACAGTGATATCACATAAAGACACTGCTGAGAAAGCCTGAAATTCTACTAGCCCTTGCAATACTGTTACCTTTTGACAAAATGAGTTTGACATGTGGACTTCCTGGCTTTACCCCAAGAGGAAACATAAGCAGGCCCTTTGTGGATATCTTGACAGACCCTTGATGAAAGTTGGGTGAGTGAGTGAGTTGGGTTTTACGCCACTTTTAACAGTATTCCAGTTATATCACGGCGTGTCAGCTTAATGTGGGAGGAAAGCCCGAAGTGATGCAGGTCTCAGATGTTTACCACTTCGTTGAAACCCACGAGCACGGGTATGGTGCTGACAAACCTAGAAACATAATCGGGGCGAACCGGGATTCGAACCCACAATCATAGGTTTCCGGCATGCCCAAGGGACGCAACTCTGCACAGCGAATCGCGGCACCTTAGACGACTGGGCCACCCCTGCCCCCTGATGAAAGTTGAGGAATTGCACTGTCATAAAAGGATATTTTGACATCTTTCAACCTCTTCTCCTCAGAAAACTTGGATCAGTGAAACTAAAAGTTCACACACTTGTTTGCATCAATGATGACATTCCAATTAAATTTTCTATATGGCTGTCCCAGCAGCCATACTGAAAAAAATATTATGGCAATTCCGCAGCCATTTTTATTCAAAATGTAATGAAATTTGGTATGTGATTAGTTAGTAGTAGGACTAAACATGTGTTCCATTTTTAAGGGCGGTCGGGTAGCCTAGTGGTTAAAGCGTTCGCTCATCACGTCGAAGACCCGGGTTCAATTCCGGACATGGGTACAATGTGTGAAGCCCATTTCTGATGTCCCCCGCTGTAATATTGCTGGAATATTGCTAAAAGCGGCATAAAACCAAACTCACTCACTCACTGTTCCATTTATGTGATATTTTATGTTTAGATCATTGTGTTGACCAAGCTCATAAACTCATAAGTTTTTTTCTGGCTCTGTAAACATCTTCTCTGAAATGTCCAAATTGAGGAAGCTATACTTTGGCATGCATGTGTCTCCTCGTAATGTCATCATATCTTGTTCAAGTCAGATTATAGCATGTGTTTCTTAGTCATCAGTATCTGTGCAGAAAATATTTGACTATCAATGCTGACAGCAACTTTTGTCAAGTGATTGTCTTTGTTGACATTTTAGGATGTTCAGTACAGTTATTAGGGGAGTTGCAGTGCCTTTGGGGGAGGATGGCCAAGTCGTCAAAGGTGTGCAATTCGCTGTGCAGAGTTGCGTCCCTTGGGCATGCCAGAAACCTATGATTGTGGGTTCGAATCCCGATTCGCCCCGATTATGTTTCTAGGTTTGTCAGCACTATACCCGTGCTCTTGGGTTTCACCAAAGTGGCGACCGTGTAAGACCATCACTTTGGGCTTTCCTCCCACATTAAGCTGACATGCCGCGATACAGCTGGAATACTGTTAAAAGCAGGGTTAACCACAACTAACTCACTTACTCACTGCAGTGCCATGGGACTATTTTGTATATATATATGATAAAAAATAGTATCAAGAAAACAACCAATGACAATTAGGAATTCCACGTCTTGATATTCTCAGCAAATATGTTTTCGTCTTGTTACCCACGGCTGCTGGTAGTGGTTCCGCAGATGATGCATAATGGGACGAGGATGGATTGTGTGTGTTGTCTCTAGTGATGCATAAGCTATGCTGTTGGAGCACATGCGCTAACAAGGTCAAATATGATCCATCATCAATCAAAATTATAACAGAATATTCTACATCTGTGACAGAATATATCTTTATATGCTTATCGGATTGTTCTTTAATGCATTCCAACAGATGCTGGATAGTGGTATGGACAGAGAACAGAATTTGATATCAGAGATTAGCTTGAGGTCAATCCTGAAATATCAATAAGTTCTGCTCGTCTCATTAGGAGAAAGATGAGTGAGGGTTTTTCCTGAAGGTCAGGACAGAAGTTATGGTGTTACGTTCAGTGAAACATCGGCTGATATGGTGTTCTTGAAGAAGTAATGTTTCGCATAGGATTCTTGTGTGTAATTGATTGGTTTACTAAATACAAATAAATGTTGAATAAAATGAAACATGAGAGCAGCCTTTGTCCTTCCCATGGGTAACTTACTTCTATTTGAAAATTGAAAATTGAAATTGAAAGGCAGTCAATTAGGAAGGGCAGTAACCCTTTGAGTTTTCAGTTGAAAACTCTTTTTGTTCCTTCTCTGAAATTGGTTTGGGAGATTTCTGAAGAAAATGTTCTTGAACTTTCATTTTACTTTTATTTTGACCTCTGACACTATAGTTGTGCAAAACGGTCCTAAGGTCAAGAGGTCACTAAAAAAAGGACAAATTTGACAGAGGACCAGTTCTTTTATTAAATGAGCATTTGAAAAAGAGTGTTTTGGACCACGACTAGTTATTTCTAGCTTACATTGTGATCAGTTTTTCAAATTCATCTTTTTGGTAGTTCACAGGGCAAGTGAATATATTGCAGGACGAGTATAAATATATTATCTATTTGCCCTACAGGACAAGTTGGGTTTAAGAAATTTTTCGAGCCTTGTTAAGTTAATTAAATTAAAAAAAAGTTAAATCCCAAAGTAAAAAGTTGCTGTGAAAATTAAATATCAACCAAGTTTTTAATTTGAACTTGGAATTTTGTCAGCTGTTTTGTGTGTAATTTTCTTCCTCTTCTCAACCAGACGCAATTTGCCCAACAATGCCACGGACGCGTATCTACAGATGTGTAGAAACAATGCCTACGACACTGTGGACCAATACTGTCCTATATTTATACTGGAGACTATTGTCAACCGCACTGGACAAGACTATGCACGCATTGCCGAACAGGTATTGGTCTCCACCAGCTATGTCTGGTCTTATCTGGTCTGGCCCAACATGAACCTGTAGATGCCGGTTTAGGCCAGTTGTAGACATGAGCACCAAGTTCTTGTTTCTGTCAGAAGAATATTCAAACTGCAAAAATGAAAAAATATTTCAGCGTTTATTTTTTCATATTATGACTGCTCAATAATATACAATGTACTGCTAAAAAAATGTTGAGAACACACAATTTTTTCATATTACTTTTCAGCAAATTCACTTGATTTGGACCAAATTTAATATTCTTCTTTCATAAACTTGAATAAGCTTGAAGCATGGGAATGACTCATCTGCATTGATGGTAGAGGGAAACGTGATTCTGAGTTCAAATTTCTTAAAAGAATGACATCATTATCTGAACTTTGATCAACTGGTATTTTTCTCAAAACCATCTGTTCTGATGCCGAGTCTTGGGGAGAACTGGTTCTGCAGCATGTATCAGCCACAATCCTGCAATGCTTCTTGAGGTCCCATGCTTCGGTTGAAGTGTATATATACTTCATCACCATTGCTAACCGTTATTAATGTTGTCTTTCAGAAGGAACATTCTTGGCTTCAAAAGTGACAAAGCTTTGGGGAAGTGTCGATTCTCCCCTATCGATCCACATAATAAGTTTTGTCCAATTTTCATACTTGCTGACATTGTCAAATTCACAAGTCAAGACTACGCCGTGTTAGCGCTATCGGTAATTATCTATTTCATGAGAAAATTTCACCCTGCTGTGACTTCGGTGTCTGTCGTTATTTTGTTGTTTTTCGTTGAGAAATTTCCCATCTGCATCTCGACTGTTCCAAATATTATTGCTCCCAACTTCAGAAACCTTACACAAATATGTTGCCCAGTTTAATGTAGGATCGGAATAGTTTTGCATTATGACTCAAAACTATAACTCAATTTATTTTCAAATAGGAGTTCCTTGGTTGCAGTGACAACCATTTGGTTTCGATCATGCACGGGTGGCCCAGTCGTCTAACTAAGGCGCCACGATTCGCTGTGCAGAGTTACGTCCCTTGGGCACGCCAGAAATCTATGATTGTGGGTTCGAATCCCGATTCGCCCCGATTATGTTTCTAGGTTTGTCAGCACCATACCCGTGCTCATGGGTTTCACCGAAGTGGTAAACGTCTGAGACCTGCATCACTTTGGGCTTTCCACCCACATTAAGCTGACACGCCGCAATATAACTGGAATACTGTTAAAAGTGTCGTTAAACCCAACTCACTCACTCACTCACTCACTCACTCACTCACTCACTCACTCGATCATGTTGGTAGACATTTGGTAGGGGTGAACATTTCCCTCATTTGTGAATATTTTTTATAAAAATTCATGAAATTTGAGAGTTTTAAGAACTTTTGTCTCAGTTACTTTATTCAGTGTTCATGCAGGTGGGAAATTTGTTACATTAAATTTCATTAAATATTATCTTTTCACTTTAGGTATTGTTCTAATTGTTGTGGAACCCCCATCCAAGCTGATTGTTACGATTTGGTGATTCTATTCACTGCATGAACTTTTTGTGTGTTGAAGCATGCTAAGCATGGAAGACCATTGATTTGTGTTTTTTGCATAATACCAGTTGGTCATCATGATTATGCTGACATTTAAAATGTGCAGAGTTGTGTCCCTTCTCTGGTCTTCACACAAGCTCCTCACAGTGACATCCTGTTCGGGGAGCTCTCTATACTATCGCTGCCACCAGTCAAAACTCCCCACTGTGATAGGTGACCACAACCATGCTTGGAGTTGAACTCACAACTGATGGACCGTAATGTTTACAAATAAGCGATGACTGCTGTGACGCCGAATACACTTACGCTATCTAAATTATTTTTGGTGTTTGTCAGTTTGAACTTCTATTTCATTTCAACTATCATGTAATTGGTATAGTAAGAATGTAAGAGGGGAATTTGGATGATTTTCCGTTTGTCTGCAATCTCGAACCAATTTGATCAAACAAACAAGAAGTTAAATTCATCTGGGAAATATGGTCAGTTGTAAATTTTTTCAAAGTTCGCTATGATGGCATTCCCGAAGACAAAAACAAAAGTATAAACGTTACTATATTTGGGGTTAGAGGGTAAATTTCAAGATTCTTGTAATGGCCGCGCCCACACTGGTAGCAGCGATGTTACCGAGAGTGTAACGAAGGTGTCACGCGCTGGGAAGGAGCTTGCTCTACACATAGATTCTACCAGTGTGACCTTGACCTTTCACCACCTTTGTTTTTGTATATTCTATAATTTGGTCGTAGGCCCATGTAAATTTCAAACATTAACAGTTACATACCCGTTCTGATGGGTTTCACAAGATGAGGTACCCAGCATGTGCCTCATTTTGCTTTCCACAGAGTCGAAGCATCTTCATTGTTATATGACTGAAATACTGTTCAAATCACAATTGGCTTGTACTCCAGGATTGTTGCGTTAAATAATTCCCCCTTACATATTTCTTGCCATTGTAACCTGATGGACAGGATCGTTGCTCATGCTGTCAGCCACTAGTCTGTGATGCATGATCATGTATACAGCACACAGGTCACAAATCAGTTGAAGTTTAACAACGCTGGTCGCGGGGAGTCCTAGGATGGGTGACTGTGTTGGACAGCTTGACTGCTGAGAGTTTCTAGGGCTTCGGTCCTGCCCCACACTGAAGCACATGCACCACATGGTGTCTCCATGGGCAGGTGACTTAATGTTGAAATTTGTCACTGTTCACCCAGCAGTGAATGGGTACCCAGTAGGATGATGTGTTAATGTGACTGTTAACCCTCTTGCACCTAACAGGCAGCTTGGGTTGTATACTTCCTAGGAAGCTGAGAATGAAATCGAGTAGACCCTAAAATGGCCTTATCAATAGTAGTATTAGTAGCCTGACTAATCCGATACATCTGGAATATTGCCGACTGTGGCTCAAAACAATATTCATTCACACGCATCAAGAGCTAACGTTACTAACAAGCTCAAACTAATTCTAACTGTCAGATTTTGCCTCACAAAATTCACTGACAATTATGAATGTTTTCTACACCATAAAACCATTCCAGTGCCTAAAAGCATGTATTGATTAAAATTCTTTTTCAATTTGAAACTTGTCAAATTCAGTTAAGAGAATGTTCCACATTGCAATTCTTCAATTCCAAGTTAACTACATGTTTTTGCTCTCGTCTCTTCTTTCTTAAGAGGGTAATGTGTTGGTGTTTATGTTTTCAACATGATGGACTCCCAGACATGATAATCAAGGCATGCTATTTGTAATACAACTGGCTCTCTTGGCCACACAGAGCATGAAATTAATCTGGTTATTTATTGATTGTTCAAAGTTTTCAATCTGTCCTTGTTCATAATTGGGAATGTTTTGGCCAATCTTTTTTTCAAGGTTTGCATTAGAAAGTGTTCTTTTTCAATTCTGTGAATATGAAGCGTTGTGTTATGTCTATGTCTTACTTCAAGTGTTAATGTAAAGTGATTGTGTTGGTTTACATTAATCTCTTCACACGATGTTGTTAATTCATCAATGGGGCCAACCATTTGATTTCCGGGGGCACGGATGGCCCAGTCGTCTAAGGCGCTGCGATTTGCTGTGCAGAGTTGCGTCCCTTGGCCAGCCAGAAACCTATGATTGTGGGTTCGAATCCCGGTTCGCCCCGATTATGTTTCTAGGTTTGTCAGCACCATACCCGTGCTCATGGGTTTCACCGAAGTGGTTAACGTCTGAGACCTGCATCACTTCGGGCTTTCCTCCCACATTAAGCTGACACTCCGCGATATAACTGGAATACTGTTAAAAGTGGCGTTAAACCCAACTCACTCACTCACTCATTTGATTTCCTGAGGGGGGCCTGGGATTTTGTATCCAGATTAGATATTTTTTGAGCTACAGATATAAAACCATTTTCTTTATTTAAGACTCTGAGCCTGAAGTTTCTTTTTGGAAAACACTCTGCAAGAATGTAATTTTTGTGGCAGTCAATTTAATTTTTTTCAAGACTAAAGCATTAATATTCGTTTCCAAAATGATGGGGCCGTTTAATTTTTTTGATAAAATCCCAGAAATAATATATAAGGGTTTACAAAAGTCATTACAATAAGCACTAAGATTGCAAATGGGAGAGGGTTACTAATTTCAGAATGGGTAGTAAGGTAGGTAAGTATGGTGTGTGGGAAAGTCAAGTCATACTGATCAGAGTTGTCAAACTACATCTTGCCTGTTCTAACAACAAAGGGGCGGTCGGGTAGCCTAGTGGTTAAAGCGTTCGCTCGTCACACCGAAGACCCGGGTTCGATTCCCGACATGGGTACAATGTGTGAAGCCCATTTCTGGTGTCCCCCGCCATGATATTGCTAAAAGCGGTGTAAAACCATACTCACTCACTTATTCACTCTATCAACAAAGTGGCCATAGGTAATTTGAGTCAGGTGTCCGGGCAAACAATCTTTTTCTTCATTTAACCTCATAATAGATGACAATAAGTATAGAATTTATAAATGATGAAGGAGGGAATCAGAATTGTAAAGATGAAATTATAAATACCAAGATTTATACACCATCTGTCCTAAAGCATGGTGATATGAGCTTGCTCAACTTGCTGTTATATCGTGGCCTATGTTATAACTGCTTCTGTGCCATGTTTCAGGGTGGTGTCATACAGATTGTTATAACCTGGGACTGTAACCTTGACTACAGCGTGGATGATTGCGTCCCGGAGTACACCTTTAGGAGACTGGATAGTGACGATTATAAAGTTTCTAAAGGATATAATTTCAGGTAAGGTCAAATTGATATCAGTACTGATTTTGTTTATCCATGAAAGCATTGCGTGATGATGCTGGTGAATTTAGTCCTCACTTGTTTGTGTCTGTGTGAGTTGAACTATACAAGCATTGCTTGATTGTGTTTGTGAAGTTTATTATGAAAGCACTACTTGATTGTGCTTGTGTGAGTTTGACAATGAAAGCATTACTTGATTGTGCTTGTGTGAGTTTGACAATGAAAGCACTACTTGATTGTGCTTGTGTGAGTTTGACAATGAAGCACTACTTGATTGTGCTTGTGTGAGTTTGACAATGAAAGCACTACTTGATTGTGCTTGTGTGAGTTTGACAATGAAGCACTACTTGATTGTGCTTGTGTGAGTTTGACAATGAAAGCATTACTTGATTGTGCTTGTGTGAGTTTTACAATGAAAGCATTACTTGATTGTGCTTGTGAGTTTAATTATGAAAGCATTACTTGATTGTGGATGTGTGTACAACCATGAAAGCATTACTGGCTGCAAATGCCAGTAAATATTCCCAAATAGGAATTAAAAAATTGGGAATTTAAAAAATCTCAATTTATGTTAATATGGTTATACTAATGAGATAGCTTGGTCAAGGTGACCTATCGGTATATTTCACTGGAAGTTAGGTAATATAGGACCAATGTAGAGGAAGTGATCAATTTTACATTAGCGCATTGAAAACAATTTTAAGATACTCAGAAATTAAAGAAAAAAAGAACTTTTAATATATATATAAAAAAATTACAAAATATTTTTTCCCAAGGGCAGTTTTGAATCCTAGATAAATCCATTGGGTCTCTTACTGCTCTCACGAGTCCAAATTTCCACATTTAGTTTTCAAACTCCCAAACCTCAGTAAGAAAATCCACTTACATAAACATTAAACCTTCTGTAATTACTCAGCGACCAAGCAACAATCAACACTAAAGTGCACAAGGTACAACTGGGACATTGAACAGTAGATTGTCTCCTACTGCAGAACAAATGCCTCGCTCTTTCTCCAAGTAGTCATAGCCAAGAAAGGGCAAAGGTTTATGAAAACTGTCTCCAAGGCAGACGAATCTTATCTTGCACCATGACAATATAAACGCACACAGCACAGTTGTAAATTGGATTTTTAAAAAGTGATGTACATAGGAACCCTGTTTATGTGGACAGTCCTGTTAGTTGAGAATGGCTGTATTACCGAGTTTGATTAGAATTCTCTCCCCTGCCTCTGTACTTTTAGACCATGTGAGTGAGTTGGGTTTAACGCCGCTTTGAACATTAAACTGGGCATAAAAACATATACTCACTCACTCTTAATTTTAACTGGTTTGTCAAAAACAAGTGAACATATTTAATTGGAATTGTTGGATCCTTTTTTGGAATTGGGGGGCACAGGTGGCCCAGTCGTCTAAGGCGCCGCGATTCGCTGTGCAGAGTTGCGTCCCTTGGACACGCCAGAAACCTATGATTGGGGGTTCGAATCCCGGTTCGCCCCAATTATGTTTCTAGGTTTGTCAGCACCATACCCGTGCTCATGGGTTTCACCGGAGTGGTAAACGTCTGAGACCTGCATCACTTCGGGCTTTCCTCCCACATTAAGCTGACACGCCGTGATATAACTGGAATAATGTTAAAAGCAGCGTTAAACCCAACTCACTTTTTGGAATTGAATGTCATCTAGGAAATGATTTCAAGTAGAACACTAACCATTAGCTGTGTTGATCAGATTGTTTAGGGACCTGAAAATTGAAAAATACACAAACAATTTCATCATGCCATTGATGACAGATGTAACAAGATTTGGTGTTGAAGATGATAGTGAGGTATCGGTCATGAGACATTGCCGTGGGTGGTTGAGAAGCAGATGATTAAACCAGAGTGTCATCCCCTCTGTCTTGAGTTGGTTCTTATCCATCAGTGTGGCGCCAAGCCAAGTAGTGTCTCAGACTTTAAGAAACTACATTTGAACTTATTACCGTATATCGCTGTGTATAAGGCGACCCCACGTATAAGACGACCCCCCTGTACACGCCTTAAAAATCAACCCAAAAGCCTATACTCCGTGTATAAGGCGACCTGGAATGAAACACATCACAAGTCTGATTGATATTCCGGTAGAAGATTTAACGTGCTTTAACGTTACTTTGGAGATTTAATGTGCGCTTTCCGACTGATGCGTATTTCGCACACATCACAAGTGCGCACACAAACCTTATATATGCAATAAAAATATGTTTATCTTGCGTTGTTTTTTTTCTACAATGATAGGTCGCGTGTGTAACTCCGGCACACGTCGCCATTTTGTGTTTACACGGTACGACACCAAATTGGTGCCCGTAAAATAAAATTCATTTATGAAGTAATAACATATAAGAGACAATGGTGAGTAATTTAATCGCCAATTAACTATGTTGTAACTAACTAGGCTTATGTTTGCTTCACATTCAGCGTGTTTATTCCACAATCACTTGTACACACCGTCTCCAACACTTGTTAATACAACTGTAAAAACAGCGGGAATTGATTTCAGCTTCACCGGTTATCACATGTTAGGTCACATGTGCAATATGCAAATGATTACCGGTACTTCCGGCTCTCTACTCACGGATGTTGATTGTTTTACCGTGTCAGGTGGTTTGACAATCTGCATCGAGGAGAGAGTCATTTCAACTTTATTTGCAGAAATTATTAAACTTTATTCAAGGAAAAGAGATACAAAATCATGTTTATGTATGGAAATAGTTCTTGGAACAGTTATTTAGGACGAAATGCGAAGTTTTATTGTCAAATGCTGGGCTGGCTATCGGACGCCAGTTGACATCGCCAGTGGAAAAAAATGTGAGATCTTCGACTCCGTGTATAAGACGACCCCCCTTCTTAGCCCCCTCATTTTAGGTACGAAAAACTCGCCTTATACACAGCGATATACGGTACTTTATGTGTTTACGTGGCATTTGTTTTGCTAACCAAGCAATTGTTTTGGCATTTTTGTTTCCAGAACCCCCCAAAAATATAAGGCTACACCAACTATCTGTTGCTTGCTTGTTGCATTATTGTGCTGAACAAGGTCACTGATTTCAAATGGTTGTCTACAGGTTTTTGTGTTATAAGCTTTTGTTTGTTTGTTTGTTTGTTTATCGTTTGTTTATTGTTTATTGCCACACTCAGCATTATGCCAGCTATGACTGTGGTCTGTAAATAATCGAGTCTGGACCAGACATTCCAGTGATTGACATCATGAACATCAATCCACGCAATCCAGATACGGTGAAATGCATCAACCAAGTCAGCAAACCTGACCATCCGATCCCGTTAATCGCCTTTTACAGCAAGCATGGTTTGCTGAAGACCAATTCTACCCCGGATCTTCACAGGTCGGATTCAACCTATATATGTGCTTGGAGATATCACTACAATAAAATTGCATCACAATGCTTTGCAGACCTTTGTTGCATCATCGGTTACTGTGACGTCCTGATCAAATGACATCACAAAACTCTCTGCCTCTGAACCTGTCAGCTGTACTTTTTACACTCAAGACACGTTTTTTCTTGGTGACAAACTGAAAAAGTTGGAAAAATGGAAGAATTTTTTATGATAAATAAAATCTCACCCAAGTGTCTTTTGATATCAAATATATCAAACTCGTCAAAAAAACTCCTGAGCACATGCAAGCTTTCCTAAGTTTTCAACTTTTATCGATTCATCTGTGTCCCTCGCTGTGATAGTGCGTGAATACTGTACAGACAGTGGCAGAACCATATTCACTGAATACATTTAGGTCCGCTCCTGGAAGCAGTTTGTGCAATTAACACAGCAAGCTCTCTTTTAATTTGTGAAATCTTACAAGTGACTTTTTAAACTGCATATTTTTTTGTGAGTGTGAATAGTTACAATTTTTCAGAACTTTCTTCGAAATTTAAGTCTGTCCTTAACTGACAAGTTAACATTTCTTAACAAAGGTCAAACAGCTTGATAAGAAGTAAACTCAGTCTTGTCTCTCATTACTGATCTGGAGCTGAAATAAAGAGGCAGTTAGTTGTCCGGAACTACAGATGTCAAGAAGCCTGGGTGTGATGAAGGTGTGTTAGGGAAGGAAGATCACAGTGTACCTTGTGGTTCGTCATTATGTAGTTAGGTTTATGGAGAAATAACGAGATTTTTAACTCATTTTTCTATCTGGTTCAAAGTTGCAAAAATATTGGGGTGACAGCCATGAAGTATTCTTGGGGATTGGGATTTTGTGTGGAGACTGGATATATTTTCGGCAAAACCAGACATGTTTTTAATGAAAACTATAAGTCTAAATACTTTTTTCTAAAAAAAACACCTTGCATCAATGTATGTTTGTGGCATAAAGTTACTTTTTTTAAGCATAATTATTTTTTTCAAAAATTCTCTGGGATGATTTCTCCTTTTCGAAAAAAATCTCATATTTAGCTCACCTGACTGAAAGTTGTGTGTGCTTGCATCATAGCCTGCTTCTTGATTCCTATATTCAATATGGCTGCTTCAGCTTTGTGGTTTGACCATGGTCTTATATTATCACAAAATGCATTTATTTGCCCTGTACACATAATCTCTTCAGAAATTTACAGCAATGATGTTCAAGAGATTTGAATCTGAATTTCAATATGGCAACCACGGCAGCCATATTGAAAAATCTATTTATGGCCTTTACTCAGCCATTCTTTTTCAATATGTAATAAAATTTAGTTTTTCATATTGGCTATAGATTATAGAAAAATATGTATTGAAAGAATTCCCAATACACAAGAATTTGAGTTGTCCAGGGAACAAAACACAATTCCAGGATACATCATAATCATTAAGGTGTCACACTTGGCTGAGCGGATCTGTGTTTTTCATTTGTGACAGGATCCACTGGTCTTAGGTTTGAATCCCAGATTTGACCTGTTTTTTGTCAGAAGCACCATCCACACCACCATGATAAAAATGAACTATTGTTCAATGGAGTGTTTACGATTTCCTGATT